TTAACAACCTTGAACAAATATAGCAGCCTTAGTAACATGCATTTTCCCTATGCGTGTCTAACATGTGCATTGTTTGGAAATTAATGAACTGTATTAGAGTTTAATGCCGTTTGTACTCCCTCTGTCCTTTCTGTTGTAACAGCTTCTCAGTGCATAATGTACTACTATTTGCCTATTCCAGCTCTTCCATTTTCTGCTAAGATATAATCTATTTTATCGTGATATTGGCACGGAAAAGTGTGAAGACTTTATTTCATGTATCGTTATTTTTTTACTTATTTGTTTGTTTAATTATGGAATCGTTTGTATCGGAAGACTGGCATCTGATTGAATTAAGGGTGATTTCTTTTCTTGGCTTGTAACAACACAGTGAACACTTCTCGCTTTATATTCTTTAACACCTTTGATGAACAAAGCGGCCGAATGAATTAATCTTCCTGACTTTACTGTCCATTTCTTATGTGTCCTTCAGTAAGTTTTGTCTGCCGTAGAAAAGGAAATCATACCTACTTTTGCTTTAGCCTTTACATTATTTTTATCATTACTATTATTATTAGTTACACACCCTTACCTTTGTTTTGATGTTATGTAGAGATTGTTTCATTTTAGCATTTACTTTTATAATTTATGATTTTATGATTGGATTACAGGACCGAAAACGAACATCATTCAGATGCCCTTTATGGCTTGTGGAAATATGAATGTAAGATCGTCATATAACTTCTCTGGGGTCCCACAGGTGCTGGAGAATCCGGGCCCGACGAAGCCCCAGCGGATGTCGGACAGCCCAGCTCGCCGAAGGAGTGATGGCCTCATTCCTGAGGGCGGAGAAACACGTAGGCTTCTTTCCTCGCGCCCGCACACGCCCACCAGTCTTTTGCCTCATCCGATGACTCCTGCAGAGGAGACTAGGAGGCTGACCCCGCAAAATAACGTTCCCCTTTCGTCAAATCCCACTGCGTCAAATAGTGGGAATCGCTTGGCGACTCCGCCACATAAGCTCCTCCTCGAAACTTCCTTTACCTGCTCGCCTGTCACTTCGCCGGAGCCCGCTCTGGACCTGCGCAAGACAGCTCACGTCCACTCACCAGCTATCACATGGGAGCTGTTATCGGCTCTTGAGGAGCAGCTGCTCCTCGGGGTCAGGGAATCGACGCGAGGATCGCTAGAGCGCGGAGAGGACTGGCTGGCCGGGGTGGCGCCGCTAGCCTCGCCTGAAACGTTGAGTGAAGCCTCGAGTGTGGTGTCACGAGCATCTCTCTTGCTCAGGGAGGGTAGGAGAGCTTCGTCAGCCCTGCAGCCCTTGCATCAGTCCCCGGTTCTAAACCATCGTCAGCCCCTTACTCGTCTTGGTACTGGGTACTGCTTTTACGTGGAGACTCCACCTTTGGATTCCAGGCGGCAGGTATTGCCAGCAGCAGAGCAACTCCCCGAGTCTTCTGACGACGAGGAGATCAGTCCGCACTCCATTACCCCAACTACCTTCATCACAATTGACCCTATCATGCCCACGCCCCCCACGCCACGAAAAGGGGACAGGAACGACTCGGATAGTTCCCTCCATCTGGATACCACGCCCGTTATACTGGGTGAGGACCCCGAGGCTGACTCCGTGCAGGGAGTCTCCGCTCTGATGTCAGAAACCGTCCATGACAATTCAGAATTAGTGTGCATATGGAAAGAGAAGGAAGTGCAGGAAGCAGAGAAAGTTCCCGACTGCAGGAGTACAGAAGATACACCTGACTCTCCAGAGAGTGGTCCTAGCCGAGCCTCGTCCTCGGGATCATCTCGAAGTTCGCATAGGGTTAAGTTTGACTTGACAACTTCACAAATGTCGCGGGACTCAGGTTATGGCGAGAAACTCAATGGGTACGAGACTCTCTGCGCCAACAGCGGCGACTGGGGTGTACAGACCTCGCCCTGGGGAGGCCAACAGCAGGAATATGGGCGCGGACAACCGTCACTCGTGCACCATTATGTGTACTCAGGGGTGTCGCCTCAGCTGTCCCCTTCCTCGCCAGCTAACACTGACTCCTTCACCTCGCCACTCACTTCAGACCCGCCGTTGTCTCGCCAGCCATCCCTCTTGCCAACACCTGTTGATATACCACAAATTTCTACAGCCATGTCAAGCCATTCGACTCTCTTCGCAACCCAGCCACTCCACCCTTTGTATAAGGCTACCCCTCTCTTGCACGACATTTCTCGAAGTCCCAAATCTATGACTGTTACAGACCGACCGACACACAGAGCAGAGAGCAGTGTATAGTGCTACTGTAGATGAAGAACTAGTTGTAAGTTGTTGATGAATCTAGTTAGAAATCATAATGTCAATGCATATATATTCTAGTCATTTTGTGACAAATAGTTCTGAATTGTTAAGTTATGTTTTCTTTGTGATGTGGTGCAACTGTTCAATAATTGTATGAATATCGAAAGAGCTAATATCAATATGATCATTTTCAAGAAATATATGTATATAGTATTATTATTATTATCG